GATCTAGGTTTGCTTCTAGATGTGATTTGACACCAAATTAAATAATTAGGTTTTGAGGTGGCATGAACAATTTCCTTGGTGTAACAAATAGAATAGACCAGACAAGATCTACCCTTTAAGATGATGACAAAAATCCATGTTGCAATTTTATGGATATATTACAACTTGGTCGTCTAGTTGCATAGGCAGCCTATTCATGACAGTTACGTAACCCACAATTATGTGCCATGAGTCTCCCTAAACCTAATTACAACATAAATTTATTTTTATCCAAAAACAAAAAATCCCGATCGATCATAGAAAATGAAAGAAAAAAAAAGGAAAAGTTTCATGAAAAGTAAAATGAGCAATGGTGATGCTTTGGCAAATGTTGGACATAAGTATTTGCTCGGGTGCATATTTGGTTTACTAGTTTTCCTTTTAATGTCGTTTGTAAAATTAAGTTCGATAAACGTCTTTAGGGATCCATAGAGGATCCTCTTTGTAATTTTAGTTTTCGTCTTGGAAAAAAAAAGAGACATGACGAGAAAGAATGAAGAGGCATCTTGGTACATATCATATCATATTAACATGGTATGGATAAGATCTGTCTGTCCATGATAAATATTAACATCACTAAATCATGAAATATCTCAATCATGCATTATTGGAACTTTTCATTCTATTACGAAAATTAAATTTCCAGATATAATATTATAAGAAAGTTGACCAAGCCTGTTGGGTGCATCGCTGTCCATTGAGAGCGATTTTGGAGGGTTGGTTTTTTATTTTTTCACCATATTTTCTAATTTGTTTAGTGTCACTAATCAATAGTAATAATTCAATTGATAATGAATTCTCATTGTTTGTTGAGCATTAATTGCTAATATATTAATGACCAAATTTAGGCAAATGACTCACTAGTATAGTGGTTTAGAGTTCAAGTCCTAACATCCGTGTAATGTGTGTGAATTTAGTATATTATCGTCTCTCTTAATATGACTGTCCTTAAAAAAATAAACCAAATATAGAACCATATAGAAATATCTGAATTTGGTTGTTAGCCAATACAAAGTTTTTCATTTTCTTGCTAGAATGCGCTTGTATCTTTCGATTTTCATGCGTGAATTAAGGACGGTGTTATGCGGCTGTCTAATATATCATATTTCTTAATGCTAAAATAAATTATCTTTAGCCCAAAAAAAAGCCACATGTAACATGAGAGTCGTGTTGGGTGCCAATTATGCGTATTTCTTTATGTGTTTGTCCCTATCTGTGGTCAAGTAAATAAGATTATGATAATAATATAGATGTTTTCTGAGACTCAACTTCGATTTTGGTTGGATTGAGTAAGCTGGAGATTAGCTCGAATTCCTTCTGATCATGGATTGCTTGGCACTGTAAAAGCGTTTTCAAATGACAGAATATATTTTCCTTTTAAGATTTAAAATAAATAAGTGAAAGTGTACATTTGAGTTATAATTGCACTTTTTCTAAGAAGGCTGTTTTTTTTTTGGGGGGGACCAGGAAAAACATTTAGGGCTTGTTTGGTATGCCTCCCTAACTTGGATTGGCTTGGATAAAAAATTATCCCATATTTGTTGTCATATGGTTCTAGTTTTAAATGGGATTAATAATCTGGGGCCCACCAAAAACACCTCCTTAACTGGGCTTAGTGAGACCCGTGTGTGAAGTGGGGACAAACTAATCCCCTCCTCATCGCTCGCGACTTCCTCCCTTCTCCACGCCTTCATGCTTCATCTCTTCCATCAGTTCTCACCCCACCACACACCTTGTCACAGCCATCACCTCCCACCTAAGCACACACCTCGTCACAGCCATGGCCTCCAACCCTCATCCATGTCAGCTGCGCTCTCTCTCTCTCTCTCTCTCTCTCTCTCTCTCTCTCTA